GTATATGTGAACTGCTGTATGGAAAGTGAATTTGTTCTGTATACCTTCACCCAAATCACAATAAAATAAATAAATAAATAAATAATAAAAATAAAAAATGTAAAGAACTGTGAAAAAAAAATAATGCCTGGAAAGACAGAATATAGTTTGTCAGGTAAATTTAGAGTAACTAAGAAACATGGCCATTTTTGTACACTAAAACCCAGATATTATATAAAGTAAAACCAAACCCAAACCCACTGCCATCTAGTCAATTCTGACTCATAGCAACCTCCACAGGGTTTCCAAGGCTATAAATCTTTGGGGGAGTGGATTATCTCACTTTCCTCCCACAGAACAGCTGGTGGGTTTGAACTGCCAACCTTCTGGTTGGCAGCCAAATGCCTTGCCCACTGCGCCACCAGAGCTCCTTAAAATATTACATAAAACAAGATAAAGTTACAGTGTCTTTAGGAAATATAGTAAGAAAACACAAACAGACTAAAGCAAATCTAAGTCACTGATATTTGATATTAGGTAATTGTTCTTTGCTTTAAAAGTAAGTATAGATATTGGGGTTATGTTTTAAAAAATGAAAACTCTCAAATTTAAAATGTGTATTAAAGTATCTATAGATGAAATAATGTGAGTCAGGGTTTTGTTTCAAAGTTGTGAGAGGAGACTGGGAGAATGTGGTGTGTAGGGAGTCAAGATACAAGACTGGACCATATGATAATATTTGTCAAAAGTGGATGATAGATCCATGGGAGTGCATCATTCTACCTCCCTTGATTTTTTTTGTTTGAACTTTCCCCCAATGAATAAAAAATTTCAAAAATCAGAAATATATCCAAATAATGGTCTTAAAGATCTTAATTAAACAACTAAATAAAAATGTAGAAAAGTGGTTAGAATGCGTATAAAAACAAAATGCACTGTGGTTTAGCGTCCTAGGGGGGAAAAAAAAGAATTTTTAAATGAGCTCTGGTGGTGTAGTGCCTAGGGCATTTGACTGCTGGCTGGAGGGCTGCCGGTTCAAACCCACCAGCCATTCCTTGGAGGGAGAACTGGGCAATCTACTTCCGTACCTCGGAATCTCAAGGGGCGGTCACTCTGAGTCAGATCTGACTTCAATAGCAGTGAGTGAGTTTACTGCATTAATATCAGTGAAAAAAGAAAAAGTTGTATATTTTAACAAAATATAAATGAATAACTTCAGTCAGGGACAAGCAGAAGGAGGAAAATCGAAGTCATTGTTTAGGAAGCATTGAGTTTCAGTTTATGTTAAAGGAAAATTTGGTAACAAATATTGGTGATGTTTGCACAATGTAATTAATGTAACGGTGTCACTAATTGTACACAGGAATAAATTAAGTTGGCAAATGTTACGATATATTTTATAACAATAAAAAAGAAAAAGAAAAGCCTAAAAAAAAAAATCACAGAAAATGATGCTTATCTGTTATACTAGTAAAATAGAAACAACATTAGTAGGGAGGGAGATGGTTAAATAAAATATAACTGATACATCATTTAAAAGTACAATTATGAATACTAGAAACATACAAAGTGCTTATAATAAATGCAAAATGTAGAATATAAAATTCTGTGAGTAATATGTAAGCTTTACCAGAGAGAAACTAAGAAAATAATGCTATTATGATAGAAAGATTAAGACTTTTCTTTTTCTCTGAAAAATATTAATATGGGGAACATACTGCTTTTGCAACAAAACAAAACAAAATGTCAAAAGTATATAGCATTAGGTGCCAGTGGTAAGCATACCTCTGTAGCTTAATGATTTACTATCAGGGCAAACGGATCTCTGAGGACCTCAGGAGCTCTGTGTGCTGTTGCTTAGTGCTGAGGTCTTCCCATCACAGCCATGGTTTGTCCTCTTGGTGCTTGTCTATAGCAGTAAAGAGGGGATCCATTCAGTGTGTAACTATTATGGAGGACACTCAAGAACTGTGTCCTCAGGAACTCAAAATTTATTGGAGGGAGACTTTATGTACACAACATGATTATTTTTTAATGTCAGGCAAATTATTTTATTATAAAACTGCTATGATAATGTCAAAAAGGAATAAATTAAATCTTACTGATGGGATTTAGAGAGCTACATGCAGATGGTAGTTTTCAGTAGAACCGTAATCAATGGGTAAGATTTTGAAGGTAAGGGTAAAAACAGTCTTAGTATAAAAAGTGTGTGAGGAAAAGCCCAGAGCAAGGAAAGAAAAAGGGGATATCCCAGGACTGTGGAGTAGTTTTGTGCAGCTCTTCTCTAAGATATATGGGGAAGTATATTTAAAGAAAAGGCTAGAAAGGTCTATCAAGGGACATGTATGGAAGACCTTTCATGTCAGAGGGAAGAGTTTGAATAATTTTTTGTTTTCTGTATATAGTAGAGAGCTGCTGAAGGTTTTTGAACAGAAAATTTACCAAATAAGAGTCATGCTTTATAAAGCTAAATCTGACTGTAGTCTAAATGACAAAGGAAAAGTAGAGAAAGTAGTAAATTATCTGAAGACAGAGTGGGGATGAAACATAGGAAATACTGGAAGAAGTAAGATTTGAAAACCAAACAGGATACTGTGGCGTGGGGGGGGGGGGGGGGGGGGGCGGGAATCAATGCTAAGAGGACTAGAAGAATGGTGGCTCTAATTACAAACTATTGGGAAAAAGCTGATTTTCTTGGGAAAAGAAAGGACAAGAAGATGAGATAATGAGTTTGGTTTTAGGCATGTTGAAGAAGTGCTAGAATATTTGTGCGGAGTTCTGGTGGTGTAGTAGGTAAAGCACTCAGCTGCTAAACAGGTCTATGGTTCGAATCCAACAGCTGCTCTGCGGGAGATGAGACAGTCTGCTTCTGTAAAGATTTATAGCCTTGGAAACCCTATGGGGTTGCTGTGAGTTGCAATCAACTCGATGGCACTGGATAGAACATTTGTGTGGGCCTAAATCGTAGGCAAAAAGGGAGCCGCAGTAGTATAATGGTTAAGCACTTGGCTACTAACCAAAAGACCAGTGGTTTGAACCCACAAGTGGCTCCCGGAGAGAAAAAGACCTGGTGATCTGCTCCTGTAAAGAAAGAGTACAACCTAGGAAACCCTATGGGGCAGTTCTAATCTATCATAAAGGGTCTCTATGAGTCAGAGTAGACTCAATGGCACCTAACAATATATACTATGCAGTTAGAATGGAGGCCTAAATATGGACACATGAATATTGCCTGCGTTCAGGTAAAAACTGAAACCACAGCAATGGAAGAACTAACCAAAAAAGACTACACCATCTAAAGGAAAAAAGGATGAAGAAAGGCTCTTAGGGAATTGCTACATGCTATGGGCAGAGAACTAATATAAGAGTGAGGAATGCCCAGAGAGATTAAAAAACAAGGATAGTACAGGGTCCTGGGATTAAGTGAAAGAAAAGCTAAATTTGCCAGGGAAAATGAATGTTCAATGTAAATGGGAGGAAAACCAAGAGAATTTAGAGGTTACATCAAACATTTCTATAGTTAAGGCAAAATCAGTTGAAAAGCTCAGATTGATTTAGGAGAAAGAACAAAGTTGAACATAGGATAGATATGGATCTGGCCTTGGAGTAGTGTGTATGGGAAAAGCAGTGTGTACTTGTGTGGGACAGAAGACAGTCATACTAGTAACTATAGAAGTGGAAGCTAACATTTGTGCATCACTAATACATATAGGCTCTCTGGTGGCATAGTGCCTAAGACATTTGACTGCTAACCAGAAGCCTGGTGGTTCAAACCCACCAGTCACTCCTCAGAAGGAAGATTGGGCAATCTACTTCCATAGTGATACTGCCCTAGAAACCTAAGGAGGGGTCGCTGTGAGTTGGATCCGACTTGATGGCAGTGAGTTTGGGTTTTTTGGAATATGTACAAGCATTGTTCTGAGTGCTTTACATTCATAAACTCATTTAGTTTTCATAGCATCCCTATAAGATACGTAATATTATCCAATTTTACAAATGAGGAAACTGAGGCAGCAAGCAGTTAAGTAAGCTACTTAACTAGTAGTAATGAACTTCTAACCCAGGCAGTGTGGCTCCAGAGTTCATACTCTGAACGATTCATAGATGTAATTATATACATCACCAAAATATAAAAATTCAACTTGAAAATTTATACACAACCCAGAGTGAAAGACTGAATTTTAATGAGTTAAAATATAATGCAGCAAAATCATATAAAATTCAACAATGTTTATTATTTCTACTTTGATATTCAGTCAAATCATACTTCTATTTTACCATTAACTTTTTAAGATTTGTAATACATCATTATGCCATAATGTTTTTTAACCTTTTCGGGGTATTTTTCTTCAGCTCAGAATATTAGCAGGATGATATGCACAGCTAAGACAAATAAGCTACATTTTTTACATTTAAAAAAAAAAAGCATAAACATTGATTCCACGCATGCTTTGGTGAAAAATATAAAAGTTCAAATTACTCTCAGTGGCACAGGCAGGTCGACATGCATAAAGATGGCAGAATTCCATCCAGCATGATGGCTGATGGCCTCTGGAGCAGGGCCATAAAAGGGCTGAGAAAATGTTGTTACTAGTTAGCTGTGCCAAGTTAACTGGAATGCTGACGGCTGCACCACATACCCAGCGTGAAATTTTATGAAGACTCGATGTGAGGAAGCCACAAACGGAGCTATATCGGTGTCCTAAAATGCAAGAAAAAAAAGAAACAAATGATACTTTTCCCCAAGTTTGAACATATTTTAGAAATGTTAGTCTAGTAAAAAAAAAAAAAAAAGTACTACATAAAGAAGCTTTATATAATTTACAGTAAACCTGCATATCCTTCTTAAATAAATAAATAAATAAAACCTTGCTAAGAATAATTAATGTAGATACTTTATCAAATATATTGCTGGGAGAAATAGGGAATGATTGCTAATGGGTGTGGGGTTTCTTTTTGGAGTACTGAAAATGGTCTAAAACCAATTGTGGTGATGATGGCTATAGAACTCTGCAAATACACTAAAAGCTATGGAATTCTATACCTTAAATAGGTAAATTGTTGGTGTGTAAATTACATTGCAATTAAATTGTTGATAAACAAAAACTTGAATTTCCTATTCAAGTTCTTAAGAACATTTAATTTTTTTTTCTGATGGAAACCACTTATATTTGCAACTGAAATGATCCTATGAGTAAAGAATATTACTTTTCACCCTCAACATCTATAATTTCCTCCTGGGATTTATTTTCACATCCTTTCTGTGGATCTGTGTGTGTGTAGGGTGGGAGAAGGATAGACTTGGTCTTTATTTTCTCTCATTTCCTAATCATTCATTTGACAAATATTTATTGAGAGACTACTATGTTGCAGGTATTGTTTTTAGCACTAAAGATATAAAACAATGAACAAAACAGACAAAAATCCTGTAGCTCTCATAAAGCTGTTGTTGTTGTTGTTGTTATATGCTGTCCAGTTGGACCTGACTCATAGTGACCCCTCCTTGGGTTTCTGAGGCAGTATCACTACGGAGGGAGCTCTGGTAGCATAGTGGTTAAAGCACTTGACTGCTAACCAGAAGGCTGGCGGTTCAAACCCACCAGCCACTCCTCGGAAGGCAGGTTGGGGCAATCCTACTTCCGTAGTGATACTGCCTCGGAAACCCAAGGAGGGGTCACTATGAGTCGGGGCCGACTCGATGGCACATAACAACAACAACAAAAAAAAATCACTACGGAAGTAGATTGCCCCATCTTCCTTCCAAGTAGTGGCTGCTGCAGGAGAGTTTATTGGAATGTTGTCTCTAGTAGTGGAAAGCTGAAGAAACCTACAATTCCAACTAAACCAAACCAAACCAAATGTACTGGAGTCGAGTTGGAACGACTCATAGTGACCCCGCCTTCGGTTTCTGAGGCAGTATCACTACAGAAGTAGATTGCCCAACCTTCCTTCCAGGGAGTGGCTGGTGGGTTTGAACCTCCAGCCTTCTGGTTAGCAGTCAAATGCCTTAGGCACTATGCTACCAGAGCTCCCAAAATTCCAACTAGAGAGGCTTAAATAAATTATGCTGCACTCATGCAACAGAATATCATTTAACAATTAAACATGATCTACCCAGAGTATTATCATCGTGAGATGTTAATGATATACAGGCAGTTTCGGATTACGAACTAATTCTGTTCCTAAGTCTATCTTTTAGTCAAATTTGTATGTGAGTCAGAACAGTTAGGTACGGTTCATATCTAATATTAGCCAGTCAAATGTTTTTCTTAGTATATAGTATATAGTGTACCCTTTCTATGCATAAAACATAAAGAAATACTTCCAGATACCCTAAAACATCTTTAAAATGATAATACAATAATAATAATGTTTTGGTGCAGTTGTAAAGTAGTACCCATTTGTTATTATGAACCATTGTATGTAGCTCAGATTTTTAATATAATTGGCTTTATGGGGTTTGGTTACTACCTACGAGTTGTATGTAAGTCAGACGTGAGTAACCTGGGGACTGCCTGTTTTTAAATGAAATATATATAGAATATAAAATGTGTGTACATATCCAAATATGTGAAGAAAGGTGTTGGGAGAATATTTCTCAGGGTGTTGTTGTTGATGTTGTTATTGTTTTATCAATTTTCTTAGTTTTCTGAAAATAACATTCTACTTTATAAAGAGCAAATAATTAAAAAAAAAGACACCATAGGTTTCAGCAGATGTAATTCTCTATCCAGTTTGATCAGAAAGCCTAAGTAAGGAGCAGAACCATTAGAAATAGATGTCCTCTCAGCAGCAATCACATCTCCCTGACTTGAAAGCTCTTTACAGTCTCATTTTCACATAAAATGAGAACGGTAAGGGCAGATGTCTACAGTATTGAGCCTATGTCAGAATCCTAGCTTCTGATGTTGAGGGAAGATACATAAGAATTTTACAAAAACAATCAACCTATTGATTAATCTAATTTCCCTGCGTATATCTTTAAAGAATTCTGTAATTTTTAGTAAGAAGCAGATGAAGTGGAACCAGGAGTCTAAATTTTTTATAGTTCTATTCATGAAGAAATAAACATGAATATTCATCCCTGGGTGGTGGAATAGAATCATCTGTGGAGCTTAAAAACGGCTCCTCCTCCAGAAGTTCGGATTCTGTAGGTTTGAGCGAGGAATGAAGTCTAGAATGTTAACTAACTCCACGTTTGGGAGCTCTGGTAGTGCCTAAGGCATTTGACTGGTAACTAGAAGGCTGGCGGTTCAAATCCACCAGCCACTCCTGGGAAGGAAGGTTGGGCAATCTACTTCTGTCGTGATACCGCTTCAGAAGCCCAAAGAGGGGTCACTATGAGGCGGATCCGACTCCACCGCAGTGTTTGGTTTGGAATACAGCTTTACTGCAGTGACCACTAGATGGCACTAGAGCTCTCAAAGTAAAAAAGAAAGTCTGAAGAAGACTTGAATTTGTTAAAAGCTTTTCCTTTGCACTTTGCATGTGTGTACTTTTAAACATCTATACTGAGTTACTTTCATTATTTTAAAATAGTAACACGAGAATCTGAAAATGATCGTTTTGCTCACTGCTCCACAATATGGTCCAGCGGATGGAGAATCAGCGTCCGGCCCATCGTAGAGTATGATATAGTTCTGGACACAATCTCCTGGATCATTGATGCTGATGAAGTAAAAGCTGACTGTGACAGGTCTCCCAGCAGGGGCAGTGATAATCCACTCGCAGTGAGTGTTGTTTGGATAAGTGGCTGGATAACCAGGGCTGGTGAACGAACCACTGTCTCCGTAAAGAGTTCCACCACAGCCTGAAAGAAAAATGTCAGGAAGTGTGATTCAATGAAGTATAAACCATTCAGTCTGCTTTAGTGCATGTGCAAGGCAAGAGGGCTATTTTCATTTTCTTAAGGCGCTGAGACTCTCCCCAAGAATAGTGGAGGCAGAAACCCTTTCCTTTTCTTGTTCCTTCATCTTTGGGCTACATCCCTCGCCCCCAACCTCCATATTCTTTTCCTTGCATGTTATGGTTTAGGGACAACTTCCTCCAGGACTGATTCTTTGAAAATACTGGATTGAGAACAAAATGGGAAAACAACAAACTAACTATTCTTATTGTTAATTGCCATCAAGTGATCTCCAACTCATGGGGACTACATGTCTGTAGGATAAGACTGAACTCTACAGGGTTTCCAAGGGTGCGACCTTTCAGAAGCAGATCGCCAATCCTTTCTGCTGAGACACTTCTGGGTGTGTCTGAATTGCCAACTTTTTGGCACTTAAACTATTTGCACCACCCAGTAGGGGGTGAGTCTTTGAAGCTGTCTTTCTGCTTTTGATGGTGTCGAGCTCTCCATGTGCAATGAGTCGATGATAATGATGTAGGTGAGGTAAAATTAAAAACAAAATTTCAGGACTGAACTGAAAGACAGCATGCCGTTGTAAGTTTAGCTAGCAGTTACTTTATTATAAAAGTGATTTTACCTGGTTTATAATTGACAGCTCCAAGATTGATAAAGTTAAAGCTCTTTAAGTATTGGTGCAATTTGTTAATTTGTAAACTAAAACCATCACTATTTAGACCATCTATCCATGGGGATCCAGCTATCCTAAGCACACAGAAGGAAACTCTATGGCATAATTAAAAAGCACCTGGGCTGGGCACCTGACACCTGGAGTTCTAATCCTGCCTCTACCACAATGTAGCTGTGCATTTTGGTAACTTGTTAATCTAGCTGTTTTAGTTCCCTGCTGTAAAATCAGGGCATTGGAAATGAACTTTAAGATTTCTTTCAGGGCCAGGATTTCATTATCTACAATTGTTTCTACACAACTGTTTCCTTATCCACTCAGTATATTTAAATGAGTCCCTTTTATCATTCTTATTTTGAAGACATCCTACGTCTGAGGTTTTTAGATATTTTGGGAAGTTTTATAGAGGTAAATCTATTGATACAACTTAAATTTCCTTCACCTACTTGAGAAACATTAGATCAAAAATGCAGGAAAGTACTTAGTGCTGTGAAAATCAGTCGGCCCCCAAGAGTGCTAAGAAATGACAGGGTCTGCAAAGGGGATAGCTGCTGTGTACACACAAGACTGTGTTCACAATTAGGCTTCTTGATAAACTTCTGTTTTTTTTTTTTAATTCTCAGAGAACTACCATGATGATCAAATCAAACGTCTGTCAAAACTTCTGATTCTTCTGTGTTCATGGGTGACACGGCCAGGCCATCTACCCTTAGGTGTTGTTTTGGACTAGTTCCCTGCAGTCATCTTCAAATCAAACAGTATCCTCATGAGCAGTTGAGCGGAGAGCGTTTCACCATAGACATTGGGTTCTTTTGGAAAATTATCTATGTGCAGCTAACTTTGAGAAGCAGGAACTCCAGGGTCTGACTAGAGGCTGTTTCAGGATGTGTGGCATGTCCTTGGTGACTGTTACTTTAACCTGGCCTGTGCTTTGAGGCTATCACTTGAGAAATTAATGGAATAAGGACCCATATAACCCGCTTTCAATGACCCCTCTTTGGAGCACCTTCCCAATATGTTTGGGTGATGCTGTCCAATTTGAATCATATCTGCTCATGATAAACATATTCTGTTACACTAATTGTTGGTGTTTCTTAAGCATTTGGGTTTTTGACAAGTCAAAAGTCTTAAGAAAAATAGCAATGTATAAAAGAATTTCCTAATCTTTATACCTATACATGTTTTATCTGTAAATACATATATTCCCATATATATAAAACTAGTGAATGAAAATAGAATTAAAAAGAGTATCTATACTTTGATTGATAAAAATCTTTATTTTTAACATAGGAAATAATCAAGTATAAAAATATCCAAAAAGATAATGTCACTTTAATTGCTTCTTTGTATTAGACACTCTGGAAGCTCCGGTAGCGTAGTGCCTAAGGCACTTAACTGCTAACCAGAAGGCTGGCGGTTCAAACCCACCAGCCACTCCTCAGAAGGAAGGTCAGGCAATCTACTTCCATAGCGATACTGCCTTGGAAACCCAAGGAGGGGTCCCTAGGAGTTGGATCCGATTCGACGGCAGTGACTTTGGTTTATTAGACACTTTATGATTTTCTCACCTGCATTCCATTCCGTTACAAAGTGGAAATGTCTTACCGGAGGCTGATGAGGTCCAGATGATTTCGTATCCATGACTGGAAATTGCACTATTACTCTTAAATCGCAGGTATAATTCATTGTTTTCAGAGAAGACAGGATTTGGCAGGAGAGTTCCACAATATTTCCCAAGTAACGGGTAACTTCTATCACTTCCATTCCTTACCTTTAAAAATCAGAGTCATTTATTATTACATGTTCTTCTGTTTATCACTGCTATGCATTAAAATGAGATACAATTTGAATGACATTTTTTTGGGGGGGGGAAAGCTTTGTCTCTATGTACTTGGAAATGAAAGCTTTCCTGTAAATTACCCTCAAAAGTCACTTGTACTCTCAAAGAACAGAAATGTTTAATTCATAGAGCAAAACCATTTGCATTTGGATTCAGAAATAAGTGTTAACTTACAGCAATTAAAACACCAGGGCACGTTTTCATACACTAGTTGGTGCTATTATCCTGTAACCTTTGTTCTTGGGGAGACATTTTGAAGAATGTAGTTAAAATGAATTTTAAAACGGTGATGCTGGGAGCAGTGTTGCTCATTTTGATTTCAGTCAATTCTATTATGCCTTATTCATTTCACTGTAGTTCTCCCCGACCCCCCATTGAAAACTGCTCTGCTGTAAAGGAGCTATGAAAAATAAAGACAGTGTACAAAGTATAATAAAGTTGAGAACAAAAGGAATTTCTGTATGGGAAAAGGACACAATTCAACAAAACTATAAAATTTCTGACTTGTTACAAATTTTAAAAACACATTCTGAAGTGGACAAGTTTTATCTTTTCAGTTCACTGTCTGGGGTAGGTGCATACAAAAACAGGAAATGAGTCAATGTGTGCATGTGGATAACTGCACTGTGAATTCAACCACATTCTGTATCCAGCCTGGCTCCTACTGCACACTCACAATCATCTCCATGTGAGAACTCTTGAGGCCGATTACAGAATTATTATACAGGCACTGTATAGTTGGAACCAGCTCCACATGTATAAATGCTGATTTTATTGATAAAAGTATTCAGTATCTTGAAAGTTTCCCCACTCTCTTTATAATTTCATGGTTTAAAACACGGGTAAGTTCTGGTTGTCTTAAATCATAGAGCTTCTTAAGAGGCAGTGGCCAGTCTTGCTGGGTTGTGTCGATCTGGAGAGATTCCTTTTAAGTCTGTATAAAAATCCAAACCAAACCCACTGCCATCGAGGCAATTTGACTTACAGCTTTCCTATAGGGCAGAGTAGAACTGCACAGGGTTTCCAAGGTTACAAATCTCTACGAAAGCAGGCTGCCTAATTTTTCTCCTGCAGAGCAACTGGTGGGTTCAAACCATGAACCTTTGGTTAGCAGCTGAATAGTTTCACCACTGCACCACTGGAGCTCAGCAGCCAAGAAAAAAATCAGTTGCACTGGCGTCGACACCGACTCATGGCAGCCCCACGTGGGTCAGAGTAGGGTCTTTTCCATGGCTGATTTTTCAGTGCAACCAATGGAAAATAATGCCTTTCTGGTGCTTTATTAGGGAGCTCTGGTGGCATAGTGCCTAAGGTACTTTATTGGATTATTCTCCAAGTGTTTGAAAAAAGTGCACAGAGTTGTCAGTAATCTCCAAACTCACTGCCATCGAGTTGATTCCAGCGCATAGACACCCCCAGTGGGTTTCCAAGGTGGTAAATTTTACAGAAGTAGGTTGCTTCCTTCCGTGGAGTGGCTGATCGCTTTGAACTGCTAACCTCCTGGTTAGTAGTCAAATGCCTTAGGCACTGCGCCACCAGAGCTCCTTCCCAGTAGGAGAGAACTGCCATAATTAAGAATGCTGGAGGGCCTGACTCCCCACCGTTATATTCTTAGATTGGGGTCTTTTCTCTGGGTCCTCTTAGAAGGCTGATGCTCTGAGAGGAGGAGGGGATATTTACACTGGAGTTACTCAGGATTTGTCAAGTTCACTTTTTCCTTCCCTTCAAGGGATAACTGAGAGCCGAAGCTGTCTCTGGGGCACCTGAAAGGGGAGGTGAAGGCTTTGAAGACAATGCAAATTCAAATGGGGTCTAGACCTTGGCCCTCAATTGTATTAATGCAGTCAGAATCCCCAGGAAGAAGTTTCCGTTCCCACCGTTGTTAATGTGAATGGAATCCTGGAACTTCCTAGATTGGTTGCCAATAAACTATGCCCACAATCTTCCCACTGAAAAACAGACTCAGCTACATTTTAAAGGCCTAAGTTGTAGTTTCCCTTCTTTGCTTATTAGACAGGAATTTTCATAACCATTTGATGGGAGAAGGGAAGTAAGCCATGAGGAGCAGCTCTCACCCTCCAAAGCTGGAAATCTAGGGTGTATTTCCCAGCATGCTGCAGGCCAATAACTCCACTCAATAACAGCTCAGGCTGGAGGTAAACAAAGAGTAATTGCACTATGACACTGATCTAACAGGATTGTTTTGCCTTTTCTCCATACCCCACTCCACCCCTAGTTTCTGATTTATATTTGATATAAATGTTTGGATCTCCATGGTGGGTGAGGAACACAGGTCAGAGTTTAAGACAGTGATTGGTACAAACAATACTATATTTCTTCATTTACTCCCTGCTATACACCCTCTTATGGTATATTGGATAAGGCATTTGGCTACTAACCAGAAGGTCAGCGGTTCAAACCCACCAGCTGCTCCAAGGAAGGAAGATGGGGCAATCTACTCCCAAAAAGATTTACAGCTTTGGAAACACAGTGGGGGTCACTATGAGTGGGATTTGACTTGATGGCAATGAGGCTGGAGTTTCTGGACACACATATACTATCATTTTCTTGTAAAAGCAAGTATTCCCCATGAAAACAGCAAGAGGTTCCTCCATGTATTTAATACGTTAGCTGCTGTTGAGTCAACCACTGATCCATGGTGGCCCTATGCACAACAGAACAAAACGCTGTCTGCTCTGGCACCATCCCCATGATTAGTTGTGGATCAGACCAGTGGAATTCATAGGGTTTTCATTGGCTGATCTTTTGAAAAGAGGAAAATAAAAGATTGTCAGGCCTTTCTTCCTAGTCCATTTTAGTCTGGAAGTTCTGCTGAAACCTGTTTAGCATCATAGCAACATGCAGGCCTCCACTGACAGACAGGTGGTGGCTATTCATGAGGGGCACTGGCCAGGACTGAATATCAGTCCCCTACATGGAAAGTATGAATTCTACCACTGAACCACTAACACCCTTTATGCTGTAGACTAAGGGTATACATTAACAAAGGACTTCAATTTAGTCTATCTATAGGAGAGAGCTTTCCAGGATAATAAACCTCCACATCTGCTGTAGCGGAGCAAACAAACTTTTGGGGAACCTCAGAAGACTCAATTGTAACATGAAACAAAGCCATTTAGATAGCCTCAAGAAAGGTTTAGATTTAAATTCAGTGCGAGAGAAAGTGCACATGCTTTATGTGTACTAATCTTATGTTGCTCACAGTTTATTAAGAATGAACACATTTACAACACAGTTTGCAAAGGACACAGACAAATGAGCTTTGGGGTTCCCATGGCAAAATACAGGCACTGAGCACCATACAGTGTGTCTGCATCAGTTGAGGCTCATTCATTGTATCTTCTTTCTATGAACACCACTACAATACTCCTCACTTAAACTCTGTGCGTGACGTGGAGCAGAAAGAACATAGAGGGACTTAACTGGGCAGTATTGGAGAATCACCAAGGAGTAAGCACTCAACGAGCATGGTTCTGGTCACTACAGGCTGCACAGAGCATGTCTCCTACTGTGTTATTTCAGAGTAAGGTGAGGAGGGGGCCAATGGAAGGGAGGCAAACTTCAAAGATGCTTCCATGTCTCAATTAGAGACTTCTAGTGGTGGTTGAGAGTTTCTGGTGGTGCAGACAGTTAACTGAAAGGATGTTAGTTTGGTTAGTTTGGGTATCCCCAGATAAATCTCAGAAGAAAGGCCTGGTGATTTACATCCAAAAAATGAGTCATGGAAAATCCTATGGAGCACAGTTCTGCTCTGATACTCTGGGGTTGCCATCAGTTGGATTCAATTCAATGGCAAAAGTGATGGTTGAGAAGGAAGGAAGAGAATATAATTCTGCCACTGCAGGAACACTTGTTGAAGAAAACACAGTTCCTTAGAGATTATTAACCAAACCAAAAAAACCAAACTCACTGACGTCAAGTTGATTCCAACTCATAGTGACTCCCGTTGGGTTTCCAAGACTGTAAATCTTTGTGGAAGTAGACTGCCTCCTCTTCTTCCTGCAGAGCAGCTGGTGGGTTTAAACCACTGACTTTCTGGTTAGTAGTCAAAAGCCTTAACCAGTGCACCACTGGAGTTCCTCAGGATTATTAAAGATGCCTTCAACTGACTGTAGCCTTCAGGGAAATAAGGCCAACCACGGCACATAACAACAACAACAACAGCATAATTTAAAGGATCCCAGGTGGCACAATGGTCAAGCATTCAGTTCTAAGTGAAAGGTCACCATTTCAAACCCAACAGCTGCTCTGCAGGAAAAGGATATGGCAGTCTGCTTTGTAAAGATTTCAGCCTTGGAAATCCCATGGGGCAATTCTAATCTGTTCTGTAGTATCGCTGGGAGTCAGAATCAACTTGATGGCAATGGGTAGAACAGGGAGTATAATTTAATTTCGTTTTTTGCCAGCATCACCACATCAAACACACTCTTAAAGTCAGTGCCATCATTCACCTCCAAAATTGGCACCTAGCACTTGGATCTTCATGTCTGAACACAGATGTTATCTCCTTAAAAAACTTTCTCTCATTCTCCAAAGGTGAGTTAAAAAACCAAACCAATTGGTGCTGAATTCATGGCAACTCCATACATGGGTGCTCCTAACCGTATTCAACTCTGTTAATACTTTTGACATTGTGTTGTAATTATCTGTTCCTTGTCTGTTTTTCCTACTGCACTATGAGCCTTCACATGCCCCTGAATACGATTTCTTCCCTTTTGCCTCTCCAATGCCTGGACCTAGAAGTGCCCAATAAATATGTATAGAATGAAAGAATAATGAGAAGCATTAAATAAGTAGATCCATCCATACATGACTAGTATAAAAGGTTGAAAAGTCTAGCACCTTTTAAATAATCATTTAGATGATATTTAAATGCATGTTACCTCCAAGAAATCATGTGTGCATTCACTTGACTCCTCGATACCAAATGAATGAAAAAATAGGGAAATAGCATGGTTCTGTGGTGCTGTGAGAATAATAGTGCAGTCTAGGTTATTGTTATAATTATCTGGCCATCCAGGACTCTTCAGATTGCCAAATGCCCTGTTATATTCTCTGTTGCAATCTTAAGAGAGAAAAAAATATTTATAATCAATGCATGCCCCCTCACATTTCATGCTCTTTTGACTCAACAGGAATGATTTCCAAAGATCATTAGAATTTGAACAAATTTTTTAAGTAAGATAATTCAGCTTCTTAATTTATCTTTGAGGCACTTGAGACCCCATGAAGTGCCATAAATTGTACATACAACAAATACAGGACAGTGCCTGGCTAACATAACCTACCCCACTGAGATATGAGAGAGGAGCACTGTCCTTGAAGGATGAATGTTCCAGCATTCTCTGCATTTTCCTGATCATATTAAAGTGGAGAAGGATGACATTTACAGCATGACATAAAGGCTCTGCCTCCAAGAGGGAGTGTGGCATGAGGATTTCCCATGAAGTTCTGTAGTGCATTATTTGTTTTGACAGAATCAGCAAATCATTGTTCTTTACCACTTTCAATAAAATTACCACAAGTATTTTTATTTGTCTGTGTTCATCAAAAACCAAAAAACCCAAACACACTGCTGTCGAGTTGGATCCGACTCAGAGTGACCCCTCCTTGGTTTTTCGGGAAGTAGATTGCCCAACCTTTTTTCCGAGGAGTGGCTGGTGGGTTTGAACCGCTAGCTTTATGGTTTGCAGTCAAATACCTTAGGCACTGCGCCACCAGAGTGTTCATCAAAGGCAGCTTTAATTTTAATCAAGCTCAAAAATGAACATTAAATGAAATGTTCTCTGGAAATAAACATCTCCATTACAGTAATCCACTAACCCTTTCAGGGATTATTTGTTTTATTTAACAAAATAATTTCCTAACGTAGCATCATTGTCAACTTTGTGAAAATACTAAAGAACTACTGAGTTTCACACTTTACTTGCCTGAATTATATGATATTATATCTTTTGTATGATTTTACATCTCAATAAAGCTGTACATATGTATGTTTACATATATTTATACACACACGTATAGTGATTCCTATAGTTAGTCAAATGAATTATTAGTAAAATAAATGCTGTCATGTTTTTAAATGAACATTGAAGAACAGGTTGACATTCTAAATATTTTTGTTAATAGTATATTCAGTTAGCCTTTTTGGAAACCAGCTTTTGTAATTTGCTGAATTGGATTTGGGTTCAAGGGAAGAGTATTATCTCATAAAGGTGTGTTTTTTTGTTAACAAAACCTAATTTCCTCACAGGAGTCAAATCTGATAATAATCACAAAGCTGGCAGTTTTTCTAAATAAAAGATTCAAATCCAAGGCTTACCTGCAATCTGATAGGTAAAACCCATTCTAGAGTCTCTGTTAACTTCAGATTTGAACACAATAATTGCAGTACGCATAGAAGAATAAAACGCAGGTACTGTTGAAGTGTTTCTGCCACAGAACCGGATTCCTGCATATCCATTACTCTGAAATGATATGCAAACCAAGTCACATTAGTCTTAGTTTCAACAGCCAATAGGTCATAGCAGAAATTTCCCTATGCCTTAAAATCTGTGAAAGCCAGAAACTATGTGAAACAGAAACCTGTCAGTGAAGGAAAGCACAAAGATTCCCCACTAAACAGAAGGTGATTGAAAAGTGGTGACTGTATCCTGTCAAAGGCAGAAAGCTTGTGAGACGCGGAAACAGAAGGCAGTCTTGTTGAGTTCAGCTCTCACAAGTTTCACTGTATAAAAGTGTGGCTTAAATATTCAGCATGGAAATAATAGTGTAGGAAGAAGTCAGTATAGAAGATTCTGCAAGAAAATGCAGACTGGCCTTGAAATCATAAATGTCCTATATTCCCTGAGGTGTGCAGGATGGAAGGACCAAGTCTTTGCTGAAACCATAAGACAGTTTTTCTCTCACCCCCGAGACTTAATGTGTGAATCATGGAACTCTGGACTTATAATGAGGAGTACTTTGAAACCTCAGAAAGTAATAGATTGGATTGTCTATTATCGCCAACACCTGGGGGTTTGAAGCCAACACTCTTGGGATGAACTAGGACTGATTAGTTGCTTCCCTAACTGCAGTGACACATCCAGTTAAACTGGTGCTTCCCAGGTATCAACCCTCAGTTCATGACTCTTCCCTTTATAGATTTGCCCTGGGAAATCTCATTACTTTTGTCATTTCAGCTACCTACCTGCATGATGATGATGTTCAAATCTTCAGGTCTTTTGCCAACATTGCACTTTATAAGCAACTGTCTTCTCAACATCTCATCACATGGACATATCATACTCATCATCTCAAAACAGCCCTTTCTCTTTTTCTGTCGTGCATTCCATATACCTACTCCCACTGGACTGCTGTCAAATGGCCTTCTAATTGATCTCCCTGTGTTCTTCACTGACCTTTAATTTCAACTATATACACACCCTACTAGCTATAGATGTATTTTTCAAAGCATGGTCCGTGGAGCACTGGTGTCAGAATACCAGAGATGCTCATCAAAAATACGTATTAATGGCTCATTCCCTTGGAATCAGCATCTGAGGGTGGGGCTCATGGATAGACACTTTTAACAAGACACCCTTATGATTCTTATGTAAAGCAATGTTTGAGAGCTGCTAACCTACAGGATCAAGTCCAAGGTCCTTGATGTATCTATATGGAGGGCCTTGGATAGACATAAAAAAACACATTAAGCTGGAGTAACTCAGAATTTAATTATGCCCTCATTATTTCAAGTGTTTTTCAAAGACTGGTAAAAAGGTCACTAGGTATGACTGTCATTCTTGCTATCATTATTACCTCTGGTGATTCCTGAAACTCCAAGTAATTCTGCGAGCAGTCTTCTGAGTGAAGCTGCAATGTCCACACAGTTATCTTGACCTGGTGATGTGGAGGTGCTTCAATGACCCAAGTACAGGTGTAAAATTGGACATCTATATTTGATGAATTTGGTGATGAGAAACTTTGTGGCGTCCAAGTTGCATTATAGATTCCCCCACAAAGCACTGAGGGAGGGGAAAAAAAAAAAAACAGCTTAGTAGACATTTGAATCATGTCTCATCACACAAACAATACTTAAACGTCTGTTTTCCCTACCCTCTCAGGCCAAAGGGGCTATATTTGTCTCATTCTATTAAGGAAAAGGACTTTATTTGAGGTATATATTCTTGACTAAGAATTGTACCGAATCTGTATCATGGATTAAACAGAGTGATTAACATGAAGTTTCATAACTGTCATTAAGTTCCGTAATTAATAGTGAGCTTAGTAGTTATTACTAGGCATGAGATTCTTTCTACTACATAAATATACATGTGTGAATATATTAGAAGGCCTCAGATTACTCACTGTCCACGGTGGTATATGTAGCATTAAATCCTTCCCTTTCTAAAGTTAAGTCGCTGACAAATTGTACCGTAAGGAAGTTACCAGAAGAGATAAAAGGAGCAGGTACAGAGGAACCACAAAATGTTCCAGCCAAGATGGCATTTTCACTATCTCCATCATACAGCTGAAAAGAAAAATAGCTCATTAGTTCTCCATTACTCACAAAGAAGGTTCGTATTTCACACTAAACTGTGAACTCAGACAAAGAAATGCTTAAGAATCATGCACTGATGTCCTTAGAGCTGTATTAATTTAGGACCAGAATTGATACTGAATTGATCTTATTATATTAAGATTTTCTAGTGAAAACTGGTATTATTCCAAACACTTTTTCCACATTGGAAAAATAATACATGATTTTAAAAATGTATCAGTGAAATCAGCAAGTCTATCCTTTCTACCTTAAAAATATTTTCAGAATGTTGCTACCTTTCTCTCCTCTCTCACTGCCACCTGATCCAAGCCACCATAGTCTCCTGTCTGGATTATCATTGCAGCCACCTTATGGAGCCCGTGCCTCTGCACCTGTCCCACCAGTCTGTTAGAGGTTCCCATACTTCTCTGAAAACCCTCCTAAGTGCTTGCGTCTATTCAGTATGAAAACCAAAGCCATTGCATGGGCATTCAAGGCCTGAGAGAATCTGCTCTCCACTCCCACCCCTGAGCTTTATGACCTCATGTCTTACTGTCTCTCCCTTGTTCACGCTGCTCCTTGAGCAAACCAGGTGCACTCCTGCTTCATGGCTGATGCATTTACTGTTCCCTTTGCCTAGAACACTGTTTCTCTATATATCCACATGGCTTGTTCTACTTCCTTCAAGTCTTTACTCAGATATCATTGATTCAGTTAGGCCTTTCTTGACCAATCTACTTAAAATACAAACCATCCCAAGATTTCTTATTCCACTTTCCTGTTTTATTTTTCTTAAGAGTACTCACTATCTTATATGTAATATAATGCATTTCTACATACATTTTACTTAGCTGTTTATTGTCTTCTCTGATGAGAACACAAGTTCCATGAATTGCTGTTTGTTCTGTTCAATCCTATATCCCTACTTTCTAGAAGAGTGTCTGGCACATTCAAGCCACTCAATCAACATTCAGTAAACAAATAAGTGCTTTAATTTCTCTCTGCCTCTACTCATCCCTCCCAAACTTGTCCTCCCCAAGTCTTCTTTATAACAATAAATGGCAGCCTAACACATCAGCCATCCTTGATTCTTCTCTCTCTCTTCCCAACTCTCAGATCTCCTTCACTCTACCATCAACATTTATCCCAGTGGCTCCATCCCTACTGCGACCACCATCACTCTTCATTTTTACTATTATAACATCTTCCTAATACATTTGTCTGCTTCCCCAAAGTAGCCACAGTTGTCTCCACACACCTGAGTACTCGCACACTTACATCAGATTATGCTTCATGCTCTGCCTAAAACTCAATAGATTCCCACTGCTCTGAAAATAACACCCACACTCTTTACATGGGCTGCAAGCCCCCATCTGCTCTAGCCTCTACCTCTTCTCACGCCACCTGTGTTCTGTTACTCTTCCATCCCAGGATACTGCCCTGTCCAGGGCAGTGACACTTGCTGTGTTGCTATTCAGAGCACTTCTTCCTCTCTCTGAGTAGCTGACTTCTTGGCATGGGATCCCAGCTTCGTCTCCAAGAGACCAATGCTATCTAGTGTTGCCCTTTGCCAACAGCATCTTGTTTCATTTTCTAATAATTGAAAAGTATCTTGAGTATATCCTTTTGCCCTCTTTTTGTTTGTTTCTTCCAACTAGAAGGTTTACACCACAGGTAGGAAACTGTGTGATTTATTCACTGCTGTGTTGCCAGCACTCAGCACAATTCCCAGAACTTAGTAGCTTTTGATGGACAATTGTTGAAATAGTGGATGTTTAGATTTTTCTTAAACACATTAACAAAAACAACGATTTTCCCACTGAGAGAAAAACAAATAACCTGCAAACATTGAGTTCGTAACAGGACCATGGTCTGTCAGACCCGCGTTGACCACTGACATAATCTTAACATGCTAGCAATATGTGAAATAAACCCAAACCTGTTGCTGTCAAGTCTATTCCAACTCATAGCAAACTTTTATTACTGTTTTTAATTACTTCTATTTCTTGTATGCATAGAGTCTCTTTGAATATATGAAATAGAAATAGACAGTAATTTCAAAAGAAAAAGAAAAATAATTTCTCCACTAGATGGCACTGTCTCCCCTATTTTAACAAGACTGCAGTGAGTTTTGTTTTTGTTTTTTTGGTACTAAAGGTGGTAGCATAGTGGCTAAGACACTTGCCTGCTAACCAGACGGCTGGCGGTTCAAACCCACCAGCCACTCCTCGGAAGGAAGGTTGGGCAATCCTACTTCCGTAGTGATACTGCCTCGGAAACCCAAGGAGGGGTCGCTATGAGTCGGGTCCGACTCGACGGCACATAACAACAACAACAACAAAGGTGGCATAGTGCCTAAGGCACTTGACTGCTAACCACAAGGCTGACAGTTCAAACCCACCAGCCACTCCTCAGAAGGAAGGCTGGGCAATCTACTTCCATAGTGATACTGTCTCGGCAACCCAAGGGAGGGGTCACTATGAGTCGGGCCGACTCGATGGCACATAACAATGACAACAAAGGTGGACTTAAGTGCTGTACTGGTTAAAACACTTGGCTATTAGCTGAAAGGTAGGTGTTTCTAATCCAACAGTCCTTCCGTAGGAGAAAAACATGCCAGCCTGCACCTGTAAAGATTTACAATACTCTGCCCCACAGGGTTGCGAGGAGTCTAAATTGACTCAACAGCAATCTAGTAGTAGCAATACATACATACATGCATGCATGCACACATACATAATACATACATATATACATATAACACATATGTATGTGTTATTTGGGAGCTCTGGTGGTGTAGGGCTTAAGGCACTTGACTGCTAACCAGAAGGATGGCAGTTCAAATCCACCAGCCACTCCTCAGAAGGAAGGTTGAGCAATCTACTTCTGTAGTGGTACCACCCCAGAAACCCAAGGAGAGGTCACTATGAGTCAGATCTGACTCGTCAGCAGGGGTTTGGGTTTTATGTGTTATTTATATAGAGAGAAAAACAAGTGCTACAGTAACAGAATAAAAACATGTGAAATGTACTAGGGAAACCCAGACGAGACAGTCAGGAAAGACTTACACAGACATTTAAATCAGTATTCAAAAGTAAATAGAAAACTTCCAGAACTACAAAAGGAAAGGGCATCCCAGCCTGCTTCACAGAAGCAGAAAATGCATGGAATGTCTCAACAACTCTGGCCCTGGAGGTTAGGGTGAGAGAGAGGGACTGGAAAAGTACCTTGGGACAATAGTGTTCCTTTATATTTAATGCCAGGGAGTTTAGACTTTACCTACAGGAATAATAAAATCTGATTTAAGCTTTAAATAGATAACTGGAAAATGTGAAGAAAGGAATACAAGAGAGAGAAGCCAGGGCTAGATGAAAGGGAATTACAGAAATGGCCCATCCTGAGCTGGTTCTTTTACTGCCATAATCTGATTTCTCCTAAATGTGTTGAAGGAGACACATTAGAGACTCTGGACAACTCACATGGGCTCCCTGGACTACTGTCGTAGTTGAAACCAACACTTTCTCCAACTGCTCTCCCATTCCCAGATGACACTAAGTCTCTACCCTGCTATGTTACAGGGTGGCTCCATACTGTTGTACACTGTACAGTGCTAGGGGTAGGGGATCATCTGTGGGCTGTGATATAAATGGTGCCCTCAGGACTGCACCCTTGGCACCTGCACAGTCTGTTGAGTTCAATATTGCATTATGGGAGCCCATGTTGCTTGGTGCTCTGCTAGTATAGTGCCTAAGGCACTTGACTGCTCACCAGAAGGCTGGCGGTTCAAATCCACCAGCCACTCCTCGGAAGGAAGGTTGGGCAATCCTACTTCCGCAATGATACTGCCTCAGAACCCCAAGGAGGGGTCGCTATGAGTCTGGTCCAACTTGACAGCATGTAACAACAACAAACAACATGTTGCTTGGGATAACTGGTTTATACTTGGAGCTTGAATTATGTCCTGAGTCTATGCTATGAAGAAGATTGTGTTATCTCAAATTTAAAACTCTTTAATAGTGAAGCATATTAGAAACTACTTAAGGTCCTGAAGGAATTGAACAAATACTTTTCGTAGAACACAGCCCCTGATTACAATTATTCCAAGATCCTGCACTTCACCCAGCCATCAATTTCAGCTGTGGAAGATGCTGGGGGGAAGGACATTTTTGGATTTTAATGTCTATTAATTTTTAAGGCACAAGGGCAATAGATTGTGATATTGCATTTATATATTTTCCAATTTAACTTAATAATATTAAATATTAATGTCCTTAGTACTTTATGTTTTAATATTTCCCTGGGATTCTGATAATGGGAGACTTTCAGATATAAAAAAAGATATCTTATTGGGACAGCTTTATGTTGTATTTTATTAGAGTATGTTTATGAATTCTTTTATTTCAGAATCTCTAGTAAGGCTAATGGTGGACAACATGACTGGCCATAATTTGAGAGGGGCAAGAGAATAGTGATTTTTCAGGTTTGAGACTAAACTCTGACCTATTTTAGAAACTTCTCTTTAAAAACTCATATGTGTCCACAGTGAGGGTCCCAGGAAGAGCCACAAAGAAACAAGGATTAGAACCAGCTCTATAGGTAAAATAATTTTTATATTATTTTTGCTGATTTTATGTTTGTTTGCATGTTTGTTTTTTACTTCAGTGCTTTTTTCCAGTCCTTGGTACAGTGTCTGGAATATAACAGGTGCTCAAATTAACACTTATTGATTGAATACATGGATAAATAGTAGACATGGTTATTATGAACCACTGTATGTACCTTGAATTTACTAGAATTTCTTCATACAGGAAGGAACTATAGGCTTTGACAGACTGTTAAGTTCCTTCCCAAAGATGTACAGCTCTCCTCCTAGCAGCCAACCACAGACTGAAACCCAATGGGTTAAGACAGAGGTTCTCAATGGACAATACCATCCCTAGGGAGTGTTTTGCAAAAGTGTGGTGCTTTTTTTGGGTCATCACAATAATTCA